GTGAAACGTGTAAAACAACAATATATATAGATATGCACTGCGTTTTATATGTGGATTATTTATAGTAGTAGTAGTATATATTGGGGTCACCACAGATCAACTCTTCTTAGATCAAAGATTCCTGATCGACATTAAATTCCATTCACTCCTCTGGTATTTCCTGACGTTAATCACACCAGATCCGGGCATGCACTGAAGGCTAATGGGTGGTATTATTTTTTTTCTTTTTCTAAATTAAAAATATGTACATTTTTTTTCAATATATAGATTTTTTTTCTATTAATCTTTGTTTTCCTTTTCTTTAATTGTTCTGATGAACTTTGCTCTGTGGTGTCTGGACTTTATGTATTTAAGCGCAGTACTAGACTGGGGGGAGATCTCATCATTTTACAGTTGAAATGGCTAGATGCAACCGTAAGTTCTATGCTAACAGTTTCTTCTATCGCACTTCTCGCTCGTGGAACTCTCTTCCAGTTTCTTGCTTCCTAGTCAACTTTAGTCTTCAAAAATTTTAGTGCAATGTCAATCGTTATCATCTGACTTACTTTTTGTCCTTAATAGTATACTTTTCTTATATTCTGTAACTCTCGGTAACCCTTTACGTCTTAGTGGCTTTATTGCCTTGCTTAGGAGTGGAATAATTTTTTAAAAATTATAATTTGTTCTCAATTATCTGTCGCAGGTTATATGTTATTAATACACACTGTTATCCAGGATTTCCTGTGTTTCGCTGAACATTTCATACGTCTGTTGAGCCTACTCCAACAGGGAATAAAGAACCTAATTGCTCCCTTTTTTCTTTTTTTTTCGACGAAACAATTTCACATCTTAAGTTCCATCTTGTGTGTATGTGTGATTTTCGTAAACTGTTCTAATTATGACACAAAACTATTAATGTGGAACATCTTTTGAAAATTGAACGGGATTTGCACAAGTAATAGTTTGCTCGCATCTCTCGCTAGCCCTGACCTCACAATGAAACGTCAAGTATTAGTAAATATAAGTAATGCTTTCATCCGATTTCATTACAAACACATTTGGCAATGAATTAGTAGATCTGTGTCGGGCACATAAACTTAAAAAAATGTTTATCTTTTGAGGGTACACTTTTCCAGGATAGAAGAGAAATGATAAATTATTTTGTAATTTTTACGGTGACACACATATCGAATGAACGCTACGTGCGGTAGACACGACTACAAATTATCTAACCGTATCACAGAGTAAAATGGTTTAGTTTAACTGTCGCCATATCGTTTCAGGTTACTTTCTTCTGAGCTTGACTTATTGAACCTACTTCAAGGTGCAAATGTTTATTTCCGCCAACGCTAACATCAACAGATAATAATAGCTGTCTAAAGTGCAATTTTCAACTTGACTACAAAGAAAAGAGTTGATGAAATAAATAATCTTTCCACTTCTAGTAATTATTATATAAAATGCTGAACTCTAAATTCGAGAAAATTCGAAACTTCTAAGTAAGAATACTACCGGATTGTTAAATCTACTGAAAATGTTGTAATAAAATGGATGACTAATATGGACAAAATCATGATGCTGGTAATTATAGTGAGTGCAAAATAATAACTGCCTTCGCCCACTCCCTTCGAATTCTGATGACTGGGGAAGAAAGGAAGAAATTCGCGAGTCTATGTGAGATTTTTGCCTTTCAGAGAAATTAGCCGGTGAGCCGAAAAGAAGGAGGAAAGAAAGTAGCGAAATTCTTTTTTTGTATAAAATGAGAGGAAAAGTGAAATTGCGAAGAGTGTCTGAAGTCATGTGAAAGGTTTCGTTTCAGTTCCTCGCAACCAGTTTAAAATTACTCGGCAATTATGTTATCGGCCTCTAACCAGCACGCGACGCTTCAAAGAATTTTCTCTCAACAATACAAGAAAGCTAAGTATTTCAAACTATCCCTTTGTCTACTTCTGAAGATATGAAAACCAAATATCCTTTCGGTGCGCAACGAACTCTCTTGCCTTTATCCCAAACTTTTGTGAATGTTAATTTGTGTCAAATCATTTAATCTGATATATGAACCTTTCCACTTCATGACAATACGTTAAAACTACGGGCTTTAAGAATTCTGATTTATTTTCCTGAAACGATCTACTGACACTATTTCAAGCGTGTAAATTCGTGAATAAATTCCTTTTTTTGTTTTGTTAGAATTACCCGTGTTTCCTCGTCGTTATTATCTGTTCATTTTAACCCCTAAGCCCGACGCCACTATAGAATAAAAGATATCTACCGATTAACGGTGACTATTATCAAGAACCAATAGTCAGAGAAACGGATTATGGTGACATTGCAGTAGGAATTTAATTTTCCGACCAATAACCCGTTTTTTGGGGTTTTTTTTTTTTATATTTTAGTTATTTTTTGTTTTGCCTTGTTAAATCTAGAAGCTGAACAGTAGTCCAGTAAAAGAGTGTCTGACATGAAAGTGAATACAAAATAAAATGTCATGGAATAGTTATCAGTGCTGTAAGTGGAATCAGGGAGACGAGTTCAAATTTCAACCGGATCTCCTCTTCCTCCTCCTCTCTACTCCTCCGCTCGTATTCGCACAAATGCCCTTTGGTCAAGACATGAGTTAATTTCTTGCCACCAGGAAAATGGAACGCTAAACTGAATTCTCTAGTCTTGGCTGGCAATCACTCTGAATTTCAAACTGTGGAGAAAGCAACGGGAAACCACTACAATATATTTCCCAAGAAAATGAATCTGTTGTCGCTAGCGTGGAAATAATATAAGGCTTCACTTTCGGGGCATCTCTGGAAATGGAATATTTTCTAAAGATATTTTGTCTTAAGTTTCGAGTGAGTTTTCTAAGCTGTAAAATATTGTACATATTAACTGTGTATAAAAGGTTTTAATTTTATTATTATTTGGCGGAGGTATAACGAGAATGCTTATTGTGTTTATGTAGAAAACACGTGTCTCCTAGCATTACTTTTCCCGTAACAATATTTGCGGACTCGAATGTGAGTCCGAGCAATAAAGGAGTAACATAAAACAATATAAAACAAACGACAATTCATGTATTAAGAAAAGTATTACAATTACAATAACAGAAGAAAACATTTAAAGATTAGTTTCATAAAGCATTTAAATTAAAGAATTGTATGTTTGTGTGCGTGAAGTTTGTATAAGCCTACGTGATGGACACTTATGTGAAAGAGTACAAAAAGTCACGAGAGAAAAATAAGACATTGGAAATGAACGTGCACCAGTGGAGGGACACTTGCCACGTGCGACTACATCTTACAGCCAGAGGTGTAAAAGAGGGAAGAGAATGAGCGAGAATAGCGTCTCCTAAGTTAAATGCAGTTCCGTGCGGTAAACTCCGTCGGTGGGGGGAGTATGATTTAAATGCAGTTCCGTGCGTTAACCTGACGTCGTGGGGGGTGGAGTATGAGTTAAATGCAGTTCAGTGCGGTAACCTGACGTCGGTGGGGGAGTATGAGTTAAATGCAGTTCAGTGCGGTAACCTGACGTCGGTGGGGGTGGAGTATGGGTTAAATGCAGTTCAGTGCGGTAACCTGACGTCGGTGGGGGTGGAGTATGGGTTAAATGCAGTTCAGTGCGGTAACCTGGCGTCGTGTTTTGGTTTCATTGAATGTTTTTTCCTCTTTGCAGGACATTGCCGTTGAATATGAATTTCTCCGGATCATCACAGACATCAAAAGCAAGCGGGGAGATTTCCAAGTTAATTATGGATATGTTCTGCGGTCGGGAAACACAGCGCAGGACTACGGAAAGGACGCTATTGATTTCGATCCAAATGCTGAGCCAACTAGTCATCCGTTGATCATCTTACAGGAGAACGTGGTCATCAGGGACCAGAAACTGATGGAAGCCCTTAAGAAATGCGACAAGGAAGGGACCTACAATCTTTCACCAGAAAGCTTTATTACTGTTATTAAAGTGAGTAATTTAACCGTCAACTTATCTCTTATCCTATACCACTGCAGCTATGGATTAAATAGCAGAGAAGATAGGTTGCCCCACAAAACTAGAGACTCCTATCTAAGAGAAGGAAACCACAGAGAAACGGGAAACCAATCAACTATCTTTCCTAACAATTTACAGGTAATAAAGAAAGGTGATCTGTGGAGATATTAAAACAGGAAATAATAACAGAAAGTTTATATTACCGTAAAGTGGTAATATCGGAAAGCAAGTACAGAAACAGCTTAACTGGTTTGTCGATCCTCTCATTACAGGGCTCAGTCGGGGGACAAGAAATTTGCACTGCGACTAAAATCAACGACAACAAAGACCAGATGTTATATAATGAATATATAAACATCAAAAGTTAATTATACTTAAGCCTAAAAGTCAATTCTGCTTACAGAGAGATGGCTGAAAGGGCTTAATATAAATTGACTCAAAAATCTAAAGGTGTTCCCAGTACTGAGGAAGACTCAGTCTGATTTTCACTTTTGATGCTCATATATTTACTATTTAACAACTGGCTTTTGGTGTTGTTAATTTTAGTTGCTGTGTACATTCCTTGTTCTAGATTGAGCCCTGATGAGAAAGGATCGACAATCCGATTAAGCTGTTATTTTTTAATTTCCATTTCGATAGTCACTTTACGTCTGTCTATATTTGAGATGAAGTATTGTAACTATTTACACTATTTACATTGTTCGGATTATTGTCCTCATCTTTATTGCCATATTCACGACGTTTCGACCGTTGTACGCTCCGTCTTTCTTCAGGATCTGTCTATATTTCTGAGATAAAGTATTGTAACTATTTACACTATTTACATTGTTCGGAATATTGTCCTCATCTTTATTGCCATATTCACGACGTTTCGGCCGTTGTACACATGGCCCAGCGTTGGTTGAAGTAATCCAGGACTTGACCCAAAGAGTTGTGAGTTCAATACCTGGCCACAGCAGAGGTGAACAAAAACTTGGAGAGTTGAGTTACTAAAATAACTGTAACTGAGATATCCAGAAAAGGCATGGCACGTGGAACAAGAACAATCTACGAAATAAAGGGTTCAGTTCGAAATTCCAACGTATATCCCCTGAAGGAGGCCGGAGCGTACAGCGGCCGACATGTCGTGAATATGACAATAAAGACAAGAGCAACAATCCGAACAATGTAAATAGTGTAAATTGCCACTCTATACCTCTTTAAATTATTTTAATCTGTGGAGAGTCATGATTGCCTATGTCTAGAAGGGCATGCTATTAAAAATCTTCTGCCTATCAAATTTTATACAAAAGATATTAAAATAGTAATCGTGTTTTTTTTTATTATTATTTTCAGACTTGCATAGCTTTATATCTACTAGTGATGGTTAGAGTAACAGGTTACTGGTTGAGGATTTTGCAGTTCAATTTCTAGTGCTGGTGTATGAAATTAACAATTCTTATTTCATTTAGTTAATATCTTTGTTAATTTAATAATTGATTAAATCATTCTTCTGGTGTTATTAACTTTTGAGTATACAATTGTTTTCTTTGTCGCAACCGTTGTACTGCTGCAACGTCTTTGCCAGCTGCTTCTTAAAGTCCATCTTGAATTAATGAATGTTAAGATGTTATGCAGCATTTGACCTTTTACCAATCTCGCAAAAAAAAACGAGAATTTGCGAGACGAGCAGAAACATCGCGGAAAAAGACGCCATTTTAAATGCAGAACTTAGCAAACGCATCAACTGCATAAGAATTAATTCGACCGCAAATATCTTGCATTTCTTTTTTTTTTTAATTGTTAAAGGATAAAAGTACGGATCCGTACGACTAAAGAATTCTTAGGACGTTCTCCAAGAGTAAGATACACCAAATCGGTAAGCGACAAATTAATAACTGTACACATTTTCACGGTTAAGAAGAACTATTATTACCTTTAAAAATGCAATATTGGATGGGTGGTAACTTTAAATATATCATAAGTATCCTTCACTTTCCTATGGATGAAAAAAAGCCGAAACCTATTTGTTGATAAAATTAGATTAGCAAATGTGACGTTATATTATTTATTTCATAATTCTTGATTGTTATCATATTGTTCTTGTTTTTTGTTTTTTTTAACTACATGTTTCTTGCTTGTTCATTTTTTTTTTTTTATTAGGTTCTTCGAAAAGTAATATTGCCTTTCAGATGACTGAGGAAAACTCACTACGACTGTACAAAAGTGAACCCCGCGTGCATGTAGTACAGGTGAACAGTTTTGGTAATTCAAAACGTTTCACCTTTCACAATGTTATACAGTTCAGAATTAAATAAATGCTGTCATTATACATGTCCATGCATCTTTTTTTTTCTTTTTTTATAAAAATTATGTAGATTAAGAATTACGAGTATTAATGCTAAATTTGACATGCACGCGAGACCTCTTTTGTACAGTGGTACCAAAGACGTAAATTAAAAATATAAGTTGAATTGATCTCTTTTAAAAGTTTTGCCAATAACTCTACAGCATCAACCCAATGTAATTTCTTTTTCAAGAACATAATCATTATTATCAATGACAAAATCCAAGGATGAATAATTCTTTTATTCGTTGTTGAAATAATTTTTGGATTCTGGATGAAAATAATTCTGGATTATTCTGAATTGGCCTCTTCTCTACTTTTAAAGGTTTTGCGGCTTTTGCCCCTCTCTCTTTCTCTGCGGTAGGAACCCAAAGTAATTTCCTTATCAAGAACATAATCATTATTAGTAATGACAAAAGCATACAATTATTTTTTTTTTTATCTTTGTTAAAAGAAATTGGAACTCTGCACAAAACCAGTAAATAATAGTAAAAAAAAAAATGTTGCTGCATTGAACGACTTGAATGTCAAATCAATTATGAATCTAGATGAAGCCAACCACATTGCTGGGAAATTTGTATCATTTCAATTGACCCCCCCCCCGGGAAACAAGTTGCATGGCATCGTCTTTTTAAACTCCCCTCCCATAAAAGAGTTAACATGTTAGAAAGCTCCCCGTGAACCAAATTGTCCCCACTTTCCCTAGGCTCAGATCGGTGACTCCATCTGTGATTGAAAATCTGTTAGTTTTCCTTCCAAACCAATTGATTTTTAACAAGTTTCGACAACTGATATTAAGTTATATATAAAAAAAAAAAATATTGTTTTTTTTTAAAAACTTGTAAAATAAAAACATTGATAACTTTTGGTACGTTAAACATAGTTAACTCCAAGAATAGCATAGCATGATGAAAAAGACGCTAAGCTTGACGAAAACAAAATTTTATCGTCTAAATGTTCATGTTATTATTAAGAGGAAAGATCAATTTTTTTTTTTAATTTATTTTTTTTAAATTTTCCCTTCTTTTTAGAACATTCTAAATTTTGATTAAAAAAAAACTTGTTTCTCTTTTGTATCACCAAAACTAGTAAAAAAATAACATAGACAATTTTTTTTTTTTTTTTTTTTTTTTTTTTGACACACATTAATTTGGAAAATCTTGCAAAAATAAAAATAATTGTCGGATGTTAATGAAACTTTCAGGAACTATTCACAGATGATCGAAATTATTATAAATACTTTTTTTTATTAAAGTCATGGCGGAGATATTTTTTTTATATTTATTACCCCACTATAACTAATTTTATGAAAACACTTGAAATTCGATTGCATCGATTACAATAGTTAAAATAGGTACCTTCATGAGATAGCTAAAAAAAAGCATAGCTTGATGAAAAAGACGCCAACCTTGCCGAAATTATGTACACTTCTGATAAAATTTCATAAGAAAGGTACCTATAAATTAATTAGATTTAATGTCACTCTTAACAGTCTTATTTTAATTTCTTTAGAATATATTTTCCATAAAGCATCGTAAACGTAAAGGTGAAAGCTAAGTACAAAAAAAAAAAAAATTAGAGCGCTGAAAGTTTTCCATAAAAAAATCTAAATAACTTCACTTTTCGGCTTCCGTAGAACAAATTATGATCCCGTAAATCTGTCAATATGTCATTCAACACCTGTCAAGTTACACGAAAGGTTATGACCTGCTTTGTTTTATTTTCAAATTACATCATTGCAGAAGCTAAGTCAACCTTGGTTCATTAATATTTCTGATTTTCTTAAAATAAGTTTTGAAAAAATGATAATTGATTTTTAAAAGCATTTCAAAGTGAGATTTTCATCTTTTTTATAAAATGGAAAAAAATGGATGCCATAATCGATTATCTGTGAATTTGGCTGACTCAAAAAAACAAGATTTTTAATGAAAATTTCGGACGTGCTCGGAACGATTAAAAAATGTAAAAAAAAAAATAGCCGAAAAATACTTGGATCTTTCCTCTTAATAATAACATGAACATTTAGACAATAAAATTTTGTTTTCGTCAAGTTTGGCGTCTTTTTCATCATGCTATGCTCTTTTTTAGCGATCTCATGGAGGTACCTAGTTAAACACCGTTATTTTATGTAATTTGTGGTTTGAAAACAATGGAAAACCTATAAAATTATTTAAAATCGATTTGTTTTCGATCGAAAACTATTGATTTTAACAAGTTTCGAAAGCTTACACAAAGTTAAAAATATTGCTTTTCAAAAACTTATGAATACATGGAATAGAGACTTACTGGAGACGCCATTTTATGCCAACCACCACAGTTTTTCAAAACTTAAACAACGTTAATTTAAAAAGTAATTTATTGTTAGTAAACATTAGAAAACAACTAAAATTATGTTGATTGCTAAGTGTGTGTAGATAGAAAGATGAATGACGTAGTTGGAGGGGGGGTCATTTGTAGTTAATTAGTTTTTACCCCCTCATTCCTTAAGCTAGGATTTACGAGGAGTTGATGGAAGGTTCTCAGTTAAATACACTTGAGCAGGTCCGTTGACCTCCAAAAGGAGGACAATCTGACCCCCCCAAGTTTCTCTCTCTTCGTCATTTCCTTTTATTGACACAACATACTGTGATGATCCCCGAAATATCGAAGACCTAACGTTCTTGCTGACTTTTGGATCTTGGATTTCTAGGACTGTGGAAAATCAGGGCTGTGTCTTCAAGAATTGTTTGGTCTCCTGTTCCCAGTGGTATAACAATGGTTTTTCCATTAACAATGACAATCTATTGGCTCTAATTATTTATAGATTGCTGAAAAGTGAAAATGTTGTAAAATCAACATCGAGTTGTCCACTCCATGTCATTTCAGATCACTGTTCATACATTTTAGCAACCCGACATTTTATCTTATTACTGAAACATTATAGTGGATAAGCGTGTTTCAGTAGACGTCTTGTTCGTGGGGGGGTATGAATTTGCTAACCTTCCGGAGAGTTGCTCCTTCCCTGTTTCTCTTCTATAAATATTTTCATGGTAATTGTTCTGATAAACTTTCCACTTCGGTACGTAGAATTTACGAATTTAAGCGCAGTCCTAGATTGTCGGCATTTTACAGTTGAAATGATTAAATGTAACCGTAACAGTTTCTTCTCTCGCACTTCACGCTTCTTGTGGAACTCTTTTCTGGCTTCTTGCTTAACAGTAAAGTCTCAGCTTCAAAGATTTAAATGCAATGTCAATCGTTAGCGTCGCTCTTCTCAATTCCTGTTCTTTTGTTGGTCTCTCTCTCTCTCTTCTCAATTCCTGTTCTTTTGTTGGTCTCTCTCTCTCACTCTCTCTCTTCTCAATTCCTGTTCTTTTGTTGGTCTCTCTCTCTCACTCTCTCTCTTCTAAATTCCTGTTCTTTTGTTGGTCTCTCTCTCCCTTCTCAATTCCTGTTCTTTTGTTGGTCTCTCTCTCTTCTCAATTCCTGTTCTTTTGTTGGTCTCTCTCTCTTCTCAATTCCTGTTCTTTTGTTGGTCTCTCTCTCTTCTCAATTCCTGTTCTTTAGCACATATCTCTCTCTCTCTCTTCAATTCCTGTTCTTTTGTTGGTCTCTCTCTCTTCTCAATTCCTGTTCTTTTGTTGGTCTCTCTCTTCTCAATTCCTGTTCTTTTGTTGGTCTCTCTCTCTTCTCAATTCCTGTTCTTTTGTTGGTCTCTCTCTTCTCAATTCCTGTTCTTTTGTTGGTCTCTCTCTCTTCTCAATTCCTGTTCTTTTTTTTTGGTCTCTCTCTCTTCTCAATTCCTGTTCTTTTGTTGGTCTCTCTCTCTCTTCTCAATTCCTGTTCTTTTGTTGGTCTCTCTCTCTTCTCAATTCCTGTTCTTTTGTTGGTCTCTCTCTCTCTTCTCAATTCCTGTTCTTTTGTTGGTCTCTCTCTCTTCTCAATTCCTGTTCTTTTTGTTGGTCTTTCTCTCTCTTCTCAATTCCTGTTCTTTTGTTGGTCTCTCTCTCTTCTCAATTCCTGTTCTTTTGTTGGTCTCTCTCTCTTCTCAATTCCTGTTCTTTTGTTGGTCTCTCTCTCTTCTCAATTCCTGTTCTTTTGTTGGTCTCTCTCTCTTCTCAATTCCTGTTCTTTTGTTCAATCTCTCTCTCTTCTCAATTCCTGTTCTTTTGTTGGTCTCTCTCTCTTCTCAATTCCTGTTCTTTTGTTGGTCTCTCTCTCTTCTCAATTCCTGTTCTTTTGTTGGTCTCTCTCTCTTCTCAATTCCTGTTCTTTTGTTGGTCTCTCTCTCTTCTCAATTCCTGTTCTTTTGTTGGTCTCTCTCTCTTCTCAATTCCAGTTCTTTTGTTGGTCTCTCTCTCTTCTCAATTCCTGTTCTTTTGTTGGTCTCTCTCTCTTCTCAATTCTGTTCTTTTGTTGGTCTCTCTCTCTTCTGAATTCCTGTTCTTTTTGTTGGTCTCTCTCTCTTCTCTCTCTCTTCTAAATTCCTGTTTTTTTGTTGGTCTCTCTCTCTCTTCTCAATTCCTGTTCTTTTGTTGGTCTCTCTCTTCTCAATTCCTGTTCTTTTGTTGGTAATCTCTCTCTTCTGAATTCCTGTTCTTTTGTTGGTCTCTCTCTCTTCTCAATTCCTGTTCTTTTGTTGGTCTCTCTCTCTTCTCAATTCCTGTTCTTTTGTTGGTCTCTCTCTCTTCTCAATTTTATAAAAAATTAATCTTCTCAATTCCTGTTCTTTTTTGGTCTCTCTCTCTTTCAATTCTGTTTCTTTTGTTCTCTCTCTCTTCTCAATTCCTGTTCTTTTGTATTTCTCTCTCTCTCTCAATTCTGTTCTTTTCAATTCCTGTTCTTTTCTTGGTCTCTCTCTCTCTCTTCTCAATTCCTGTTCTTTTGTTGGTCTCTCTCTCTCTTCTCAATTCCTGTTCTTTTGTTGGTCTCTCTCTCTCTCTTCTCAATTCCTGTTCTTTTGTTGTCTCTCTCTCTCTCTCTTCTCAATTCCTGTTCTTTTGTTGGTCTCTCTCTCTCTTCTCAATTCCTGTTCAATTTGGTCTCTCTCTCTCTCTTCTTCTCTGATTTTTTTTGGTGGTCTCTCTCTCTCTCTCTTCTCAATTCCTGTTCTTTTGTTGGTCTCTCTCTCTCTCTCTTCTCAATTCCTGTTCTTTTTTGTTAGGAAAGACAAATCTCTCTCTCTATTCTCAATCTCTCTCTTCTCAATTTTGTTGGTTTGTTGGTCTCTCTCTCTCTCTTCTCAATTCCTGTTCTTTTGTTGGTCTCTCTCTCTCTCTCTTCTCAATTCCTGTTCTTTTGTTGGTCTCTCTCTCTCTCTCTTCTCAATTCCTGTTCTTTTGTTGGTCTCTCTCTCTCTCTTCTCAATTCCTGTTCTTTTGTTGGAAATGGTCTCTCTCTCTCTCTCTTCTCAATTCCTCTTCTTTTGTCGGCCTCTCTCTCTCTTCTCAATTCCTCTTCTTTTGTCGGTCTCTCTCTCTCTCTCTTCTCAATTCCTGTTCTTTTTGTTGATCTCTCTCTCTTCTCAATTGAAATTCTTTTGTTGGTCTCTCTCTCTCTCTTTCAATTCCAATTTCTTCTTTTTGAAATACCTCTCTCTCTTCTCAATTCCTACATTCTTTTTCCTCTCTCTCTTTAATTCCTCTTCCAAATCGGTCTCTCTCTCTCTCTCTCTCTCTCTCTTGATTAAATTCCCGTTCTTTTTGTGGGTCTTGCTTTGAAGTTTTTTGTTATTCTCTTACACTCAGTAGCCCCTCCTGATCACAATGAAATGTTATTAAAATCAATACAAGCATGAATATAATGGGGAACTTCATAATAACATGAATAACATTAAGGCAAAAAGTTGTGCTGAGGAGTTGGGGTGGGGGAAGCAAAACTCTTTCTGACTTTAAGCTGCAGACCAGGTGCTGGAATAAAAGCATGGTTATATCTGTTCTCCTGTAAATGTTGCCTTTTGTTTATGTTCGTGTTCTTATTGTCTTTTAAACCCAAAGAAATATGCATTTGCTGTTAGGACTGCTGTTTGTCAGGCGTGACTTGTGACCTGGAAAAGACAGTGCAACAATTTATTAACAAAAAAACCAAAAGACCATTATATGCAAATTCTGGGAGATTATAGAATTAGGATGTACGAGTTGCATAACACTGAAAATAGTTCAAATTTTGGCTGAGTTTGCTTCGTTCACTTCACACGAATGCCCTCGGGAAAAGCAGGTATTGATCTTCTTCTAGTTATGGGTTAAATACTAATGCAGATTAGACTTTATTACCATTAGTGGAAACCAGTCTAAAAGAAGGGAAATTCTGAAATCAAAACCAACTCAAAGAGGGATAGGCATTGTTAGGTTATCTTACTTTAGACACATTCACTGTTACAACAAATTTACTTTACTTTTTCAATATGATCTTAAATATTCAATGCGTTTGTGTTTGGAAATGCCTCCTTTAAAATCGATATAATTGCATTTGAACATCCAATTGTATACACTAATGAATACAATTTTGTGTTCAGATGGAACCTTTCCGTCACACTAAAACACAGCGTAAAGTTTTCAAGCTTAGCGAACAACATAAGAGGAATTAGTTAACTTGCATCTGCACACATAGCAAAACATCGAAGGTAAAAGACAGATGGCAAAGACTTTCTCCCTTTTTAACATACAAAACAGTAGTAGTTTGGCCTGACTTGTCTTTCATGTCCAAACTGTTGTTCCATGCCATAAGTTACCAAATAACACCTCAATACTGTTTCATAACTACTGTAGAACTCAAATTCTACCTTATTCCAATACCCAAAAATAGTTTGGTCAAATCTGTGCAAAAAGTGGATCACAGAACACTTTCAACTTCATACACTTTCAAAAATTTTTGAGCCCCATTGGTTAATAAATATACAAGTAGGTGTGACTATCCACCATGCTTAACTAATTTTTTGCTCGTGACTGAAATCCAAGTTTTATTACCAAGTCATGAGCCAGTTGAAGCAAATAAAACAGAAACTCGTTCACAATTGCTAGTGAGCATTGTGACATCAAACGAATATAACTAAACTTCATGTTCACGAAATCTTAAGTTTTTTTCCATACAAACATTATACAACATTAACAATATTCACACTCACTCACCAAAAACTCATCAGTGAACTCTGTCCCCATTCACTCGCCAAATTCCTTATAAAGTTAAACAAATTCCTGCTAACAAATCAACTTTATTTCTCAATATTCGAGAACATTGTATTAAACAAAAACAAAAGGTAGATAACTTTTTGATCACAAAATTGCATTCAACTTTACAATCATTTGCTACTTACATTAACAGTAAATTCTTAAATGTAAATTTTCTCTTGCAATTAATTTACAGAATCTTCAATAACAGAATTTAAATGCCTGCATCCAATCTCCTTTCTCTTATTTAATAAAACACCTTTATCAGGATATGTGACAACAGCCAATTTCTCTTCTGGGCATAGTCAACAAGAGTTACCACAAATACTGCCGGCTTTTACCTTTCTTACCAAAACTCCACCTCACAAAGGGCTTTTATATATATATCTCTGTATATTTCCAGACAATTAAAAGCTGAAATTGTCATATTTGTGGTTTTTCAACCTAAAAGGCGAAGCATGATTATAAAGTTTCTTTTTGAATTGGCCCTTAGTACATCCAATGTATATTTTCTTGAAACCATTTTTATCATTGACCTCAGCAATGTAAATGATGTCTTCTGTGAAGCACTTCTCATCCAATAGACATTTTTTTTTTCTCACTTTAAACATTATTTTCAGTGGGTACTCGTATTTGAGTCGACACTCTGTTTATCAAACAGTATATTTATTTTCATCTACTAACCTGAATGTTTGAAAAATCTTATTAAACAAAAATATGCGCTCTCCAGTAGGATTCAAACCCACATCCTCCACAGCAGAGGCAGCTACCTTTGGACTTGACTCGCTCTAACCAACTGAGCTACGAAGAACAGTCAGTCAGACATGGCCAAATTCATGCCTTTAAGCTAAAATTTGGCCTTGCCTGACTGACTTTTCTTGTTTTAAACTTTAGATATCACTTTTTTCCTTATTTTTGGGATGGAGGGGGCCTAGAATTATATATTAAAAATAAACCACAAATAGAAAAATTCAAAATTTAGTCAAGAAAGACTTCCAAAAGTAGCCCACTGTGTTGCCGCTTACCTTTTTAGCAGATCAGAGAAAAATAAAGAACAAACTTTGAAAGTGTTGTTTAATATCAGCAAACTAGAAATTTTTAATTTAAATTTTTCTCTGGTCTTTTTATAGGATTTGAAAATTCCTGTTGATACAGTCAAACTGACAGAAACGCTACAATCAATAGCTAATCGAGGTTCCGGAAAAATTTACTTTGGGTAAGATGACTTTAACTTCCCACTTAAACTCTTTTCTTTTGCTGTTTACTTTCAATTAAGATTCTTAATATTCAAGATTCAAAATATGTATCTGTTTGTATGGTAGATTATAATGATAAAATTACAATGACAAATTTAATCCAAACTGCTCTCTTTCATCTATGTGGTCACTTATTTACCAAGGCCAAGCTTCTAAGGCTTATTTGGTCTTATTTAAAAACCCAGTGACATACACCCTTGTGCAAATTAATTGAAACAACTACTTTAGTTTCCTTTCTATCATCATATGGTCAGTTTTAGACCCACTGGAGTGACGGGGTGTAATCAATCGATTTGTTTTTTTCTCAGATTAGGTCATTTGCAGTAGTGTGCAGTAATATGAACCTATTTTCAGAGTATATGATGAAATTTGAAAAATATTGCAACATTCTTAATTGCATCAGATTTTCATCACACCCAGACACTATTGTCTCAACTGTCGATTAGTTGTCCTATGGCCATTGTTTACTCCAAGGAAGTGTACGAAAATTGTAATGCTGCATGAACATACTGGCAAGCCTTACTAGTAAGCAAATCAAAGTACTATAGCCTGGCCCGGAAACTCTCCTTATTTAAATTCAATTGAGAATCTCTGGTCAATTTGCATGGAAAGACTTCATGGAATGGACATATGAAGTACTAACAGGTGTACTGGGTCATGTTTCATTGGAAATATACAAAAAGAGTAAATAATAATGGAATTAATCATTTTGATTTGTTATGTATGTTTCTAATTGTTGTGACCAATGTAAAGTGCAACCACTTTTTGTTGTTGTTAGAGGTATTGAAATTTTAGGTGAGAGCATATTGTCTATTAGTTTGCTTTATTTTTGTTAGGTGTTTGTGTGATTTTTTTTTTTTTTCTCTTCCCCTTTTTTTTTTAATCTTTTATATTTTTGTGATGTTTCACTCAGTCAATAAGGAAAGAGGAAGAGGTATTTAAATCTCACACCACCTGTAATTATTGGCAGGGGGCAGTAAATCAATATCCCACCATCTGTGATTATCATCATGCACGATAATACACCACCACCATGTTTTAAGTGAACAAAAAAACTTTTA